CTTACAGTAAGCATCATACACCAATATCTTCATTACTTACAATATTACATCATGTCTTAATTACAAATCTCATATACATGCCAAAGGACTTAGCTACAAAATGAACATGATCAAAGCAAGTAACCCTGTATCAGATACCCATTACTACTACAATGATCATGCACTAAGTCCTCCAAAATACATCATGTGGCATCAAAATATACATATAGCAATGCTAAATGGCATGCAACTCAACATGTCCAGCTATCAGGTACAGTCTACTCACGCTTCTTGCCTCGATCAACCTCACCTCTATCAGTACCTGAAATGATGCCCCACAACACGGGGTGAGATATACGAATATATCACAGTAAACCAGAGGTCCTTGGAGATCACTCCACCCTAAGGTTCACTTTGATGTACACATAATCATAATAGCTTAACACATTCTTATCCACAAGCATCACATGGACTTCCAAGAGAGATCCACTATGGGCTGTTTCTCTTAGGCTCTTACCACATGGAGATCCACATAGGGCTGTTTCCAAGGGAAGTCCTTTCCTCAATCTAGGAACCTCCAAGAGGGATCCACATAGGGATGTTCCTCTTAGGCTCTAACCACATGGAGATCCACATAGGGCTGTTTCCAAGGGAAGTCCTTTCCTCAATCTAGGAACCTCCAAGAGGGATCCACATAGGGCTGTTCCTCTTAGGCTATAACCACATGGAGATCCACATAGGGTGTTTCCAAGGGAAGTTCCTACCAATCATCCTCATCATAATACTATCACGCATAACCTCAATCACAATCCTCAACCATTACCTCATTCATTATTGCTACTTCTATAATCATTCCTCAATTACTCTTAAACAATCAAACATCAACCAATAATCATCAATCAATCATAACATGTATCAATGCATGAATCAATGCATGAGCATACAATCACTATCATAATTACATATCACATCTCATAAACCATTTCTCCTCAACGGAGTATGGTGGAACACTCAATGGGATCAACCACAAGGTCCAAAGGTTTACCTTGCTCTTTGAGCTTTCCTCAATTGCACACAACCCCAAGGGTTGGTCACTCCACTTGGTCCTCTTGCCTCAATCCTATCAACACAAGGAATACAATCAAACAATGCTAACAATGCAAGGAAATCCATAGTTCCAAGCCTAGATTTCTCCAAACATCAAAGCCTACTAAAATAACACTATAAACTCATTTCTACCGATTAAATGTCATTCCTAGCATTTTTCACAACATACTCTAAGCCTCATTCTTCCTTGAACATAGCCAATCTACTCAACATTTCATAAAAACCCTAAAACACTATTCATTAACCCTAAACTCATGCAAATCTCCAAGAATCATGTGAAAGAGAGTGGAAACTTACCACCAATGATCACACAATAGAGGAATGAGTGTTCCTCAAGCTTCCATGGAGGTTGAAACCCCCAAAACCCCAAAATCTCACAAAGGGCCGAATTTTTGAGGGGCAATATCCCTCTCCACAATGCTCCCCACTCAAAACTAAGCTTGGATTATGAAAGAGGAGAAGATTTAGAGTGGTTTAGGCTTTTGAACGGATGGATTTGGTTGAGGATTGCTCCACCTAGGGTTCTCCCTCTCCTTTCCTCTTCCTTTTCCCCTCTTCTCCTTCTTCTCTTCTTTTCCTCTCTTCTGCACGACGGGTTGGGGAGGGACAATTGGGTTTCTTTTGTTGCATTGGTCACTTAACTTATGTTAAGTGACTTTAAGCGGGTATTGGTTCGTCTATCTATTCAACTCCATTAATTACCAAACTTTACCCAAAAGTCTGGAATATTATTCTAGGAATATTACTATTTTATTTTTATATTTTGGGTACTTTCGCCTGTACCCATTTATACCCCTTAATTTTCACTGAGTACACTTTTTAACTCCAAGTGACTCAGATTCATTTAATTAAGCCTTATACTTAATTTTACTCACTAAAATATGCTTAATTATTTAATTAAAATTAATCAATTAAATGCTTAAGTTCGGGGTATTATATTCACCCCACCTTTTTAACGATTTTGTCCTCAAAATCGACAAAACCACTCATTCAATCATCTATGGATTTATCGGAGAACTCTTCTTGTGTTCCCGAAGTTACCCTATTAATCAGTTCCTCTTTTCCTCATCATCTTATCATAAGATGAAATGTTTCATTCATGATTCAATCTATGTTTTATAATTAGGTGATACTAATATGTTCCAGCACTTTTATCTTTCATTTTCCTCATTGGTCATACCTATTCACTTGATATTTAACCCTGACCTTCTGCGGTCCTACTAATAACCTCATACATAAAATCTCATCTGATGGAACTTCCAAGAGAGATCCGCTATGGGCTGTTTCTCTTAGGTATCTGACCACAAGGAGGTCCCGAAGGCTAACTCCAAGGGAAGTTCCCCTCAATCTAGACCTTTCATGAGAATTCTCTATCTCATAGGATACTATCCTCATGGAGGTAATACCACTACATCCATGGAAAGGTCATTGCATACAATTTACCATCTTTTAGCAATCAATACATAGTCTAGTCTTTAATTACTAGACATAACGAATCACACAATCATAATTGAGTCCATAGTCTAAGCATGTGTGGCTCCAACCTCAATAAACTATGCATGTCATATTAATCTACATGCGTCATACCTCCCGTCAAGCGTGGGAACCTCTCTAGCTGGGGTTGGGTCGAAGTGCTAACATTTGCCGCTGCTGAAGGGTCATAGACCACTTGCACATGAGCAACTCGTCCCACGATCTGGGGACAATCCCTCGCATAGTGACCAGGTCTAGCACACTTGAAACATACGTTTTGACCCATCAAACAAACGCCCTTGTGATGCCTCCCACAGTTGTCACACTGGGGCACAAGAGGTCTTTCATTGTCCCAACTCTGTTGACTCCCGCTTCTCTTAAACTTTTCCTCAGATTGTTTAGCTTGTAATCTTTCTTTAATACTCCTGTCATCCATCTTCTTACCCTTTTCTGAAGTAGAGCCAGTTGCTCCACTAGCACCAGATGCTTGTGCCTCGGAAGACTTCTTACTTTTCAGCACACCATAAACTTCTTCCACCTTCCGGCATTGGTTCACGAATCTACTAAACTCTCGGATGTCACAATTTGACATCTTTCGAGACATCTTCTCATTTAGACCCCATTGAAATTTAGAGGTCATCTCGGCCGGAATGGGTAAGGCTCTCCCATAGTTAGCATATTTCACCAATTCATTGAACTTGGCGAAATATTGGTCAATTGTCATCGACCCTTGCTTGAGATCGTTATACTCATTCTGTTTCTGTTCCCTAGCCTCCCTAGGAAAATAGTTATCCAAGAACAATGTCTCGAACAACCGCCAGGTGATTTCCCGGCCTTCAGCTTCTAATGGCTGCACGGTATTGGTCCACCAATCTTCCGCTTCCTCTTCCAGCATATAAACAGAGTAGATTAACTTCATTGCGTCAGGGCATCTCATCACCCTGAATATCTTCTCCATAGCTTGGAGCCATTTCGCAGCCGCCATTGGCTCATAACCTCCCTTAAAAGAAGGAGGTTTGTGTTTTCGGAAAGCCATCAATCTTCTTTCTTCAGCTTCATGCTCGTCAACACGCTCAACACGTGGTTGACGGACCTCAGTGTGATGGCTATGACTATCAGAATGGTGGCTAGCCTCACCTTCATTGTTACCCGCTACACCCTCTTCCTGTGAAGGAGGAGGAGAAGGCGTAGCAGTGTGAGGCGGAGGAGTGGGTTGCCGGTTCACGGGCCTAGGACCCCTCAACGTCCTCAACTCGGTCATCATCGCGGCCATAGCAGTCCGCGAGTCTTCATTTGTCTTTAACAAATTTTCATTGGCTTGCCTGCTAGCAGCCAACTCTCTCTGAACGGCTGCAAGAGCTTCAGCCACGGGATCAGGCGGTACGCCCGTTGCCCCACGGCCACTTCTGGGCCTCACAAGAGCAGCCAAAACAGGTTCTGGCTGAGCATTGGTGTTTGATGGTCCGGGGTTGTTTCGGTTCCTCGTCATGTCACTACACATGTTACACAAAGAAGTGAGTTGATCAGGCCCACACTTAGTGATCACAAATGCAATAATCATACAGAGTACTAAAACAACTATAAAGCATCAAACACTAAGCATACTCAACAATAGCTAACAGTTATTCCCAACGAAACTGCTCTGATACCATAAAATGTAACACCCCGTTCTAGAACCGGTTTGTTAACATCGCATTATGATATTAAGCGCAGTTACAATCACATGGGTTCAATTAAAATCCGGTTAAATTTTTCATTTTAAAACATGCCGAATTTATAATGCCCAATTGCGTGATCATAACCATATTACTTTGCGGAATCAGATAAACCAAGCTTAACATCATGTTCTTATTCCATTTTTAAACCATTAATTTACTTCTTATTTATTTCCCAACTTCTACTATATTGTAGATTTCTTCGTTAGCTACGCGTGGTTTCAAACCGCTCCTCATTTGGAGCTCTGTAGCTCAAGTTATGACAATTTTACTAACTCAGGTGTATGCTGAAAAACTACGCGGGCAGGGCGCTTAAGCTCGCTCCAGGGCGCTTAAGCGCCCACAGACAGAGGGAATTTACAATTTTTAGCCACCAAGGGCGCTTAAGCTCGCTCCAGGGCGCTTAAGCGCGCTACCTGGGCGCTTAAGCCCCCATTTTGGGCGCTAAAGCCCCATGCGACAGAAAGCTTTTGGTCTTCACAGGTGCATCAGGGCGCTTAAGCCCCCTCATGGGCGCTTAAGCCCCCTGAGCAGGCTTAAGCCTCCATTTGCAGGCTTAAGCCCCCTCTTCTGGGCAATTTCCTATACTCATATTTTTCATGCATCTTTCTTGGGGAATCAATCCTACACATTTTACAACCTATTTAACAAGCTTGTGATATCCCTATATCATTGCTCAACTCTCATCCTCTCATCATTGATTTAACGGAAATTGGGCAGCATAATCTTTGTTTTCTCAACGTTTCCCAACTTAGCACAAGGTACCTAATTGACTTTCCAGCTCAACATATCCAATACATAAAAATACATTCATGCATTTAACTTACAGTAAGCATCATACACCAATATCTTCATTACTTACAATATTACATCATGTCTTAATTACAAATCTCATATACATGCCAAAGGACTTAGCTACAAAATGAACATGATCAAAGCAAGTAACCCTGTATCAGATACCCATTACTACTACAATGATCATGCACTAAGTCCTCCAAAATACATCATGTGGCATCAAAATATACATATAGCAATGCTAAATGGCATGCAACTCAACATGTCCAGCTATCAGGTACAGTCTACTCACGCTTCTTGCCTCGATCAACCTCACCTCTATCAGTACCTGAAATGATGCCCCACAACACGGGGTGAGATATACGAATATATCACAGTAAACCAGAGGTCCTTGGAGATCACTCCACCCTAAGGTTCACTTTGATGTACACATAATCATAATAGCTTAACACATTCTTATCCACAAGCATCACATGGACTTCCAAGAGAGATCCACTATGGGCTGTTTCTCTTAGGCTCTTACCACATGGAGATCCACATAGGGCTGTTTCCAAGGGAAGTCCTTTCCTCAATCTATTCCAAGAGAGATCCTCAAAGGGCTGTTTCTCTTAGGCTCTTACCACATGGAGATCCACCTAGGGCTGTTTCCAAGGGAAGTCCTTTCCTCAATCTAGGAACCTCCAAGAGGGATCCACATAGGGTTGTTCCTCTTAGGCTCTAATCACATGGAGATCCACATAGGGCTGTTTCTAAGGGAAGTTCCTACCAATCATCCTCATCATAATACTATCACTCATAACCTCAATCACAATCCTCAACCATTACCTCATTCATTATTGCTACTTCTATAATCATTCCTCAATTACTCTTAAACAATCAAACATCAACCAATAATCATCAATCAATCATAACATGTATCAATGCATGAGCATACAATCACTATCATAATTACATATCACATCTCATAAACCATTTCTCCTCAACGGAGTATGGTGGAACACTCAATGGGATCAACCACAAGGTCCAAAGGTTTACCTTGCTCTTGAGCTTTCCTCAATTGCACACAACCCCAAGGGTTGGTCACTCCACTTGGTCCTCTTGCCTCAATCCTATCAACACAAGGAATACAATCAAACAATGCTAACAATGCAAGGAAATCCATAGTTCCAAGCCTAGATTTCTCAAAACATCAAAGCATACTAAAATAACACTATAAACTCATTTCTACCGATTAAATGTCATTCCTAGCATTTTTCACAACATACTCTAAGCCTCATTCTTCCTTGAACATAGCCAATCTACTCAACATTTCATAAAAACCCTAAAACACTATTCATTAAACCCTAACCATGAAATTTTCCAAGAAAACAAGGTTCAAAGGTTAAAATCTTACCACCAATGGTCACACAATAGAGGAATGAGTGTTCCTCAAGCTTCCATGGAGGTAGAAACTCCCAAAACCCCACACTTCTCAAAAGGGGCGAATCTTTGGGGACCAATATCTCTCTCCACAAGGACTCCCACTCAAAACCAAGCTAGGATTATGAAAGAGGGGAAGATTTAGAGTAGTTTAGGCTTTTGAATCACCCAAAACGGTTGGGATTTGCTCCCACTAGGTTTTCCCTCCTTCTTCCTCTCTTCTCCCTCTCTTCTCTTCTCCTCCTTTCTGTTTGCTGTCGACGGGCAATGGGGGGAAATGGGTTCTTCTTTGTTCTTTAGTCACTTAACATAGGTTAAGTGACTTTAAGCGGGTATTGGTTCGTCTATCTATTCAACTCCATTAATTACCAAACTTTACCCAAAAGTCTGGAATATTATTCTAGGAATATTACTATTTTTATTTTTATATTTTGGGTACTTTCGCCAGTACCCATTTATACCCCTTAATTTTCACTGAGTACACTTTTTAACTCTAAGTGACTCAGATTCATTTAATTAAGTCTTTTACTTAATTTTACTCACTAAAACATGCTTAATTATTTAATTAAAATTAATCAATTAAATGCTTAAGTTTGGGATATTATATCTGATCCTTTATTTTGTATATGGCCTGTATATATTTTGTACATGTCTTTCAGTTGGATGCATGTACATTTGAGTATTCAGGCATGTTGATATGATGATGTAATATTCAGTTTATGTTTGTGTTGAATTGCATGTTGTTAGACATAGTGGCACAGAACCAAGTTATGCATGCGCCCATGGATGGGTATATGATCCTATATGGATATCTGGTATGTCTGAAAGTATATACTGTATAAATTGTCTATCAGGGTACCTTAATAGTGGGATTTGCAAATCCCCAGTTGTCCGATTTACGGAGGTTACTCTGTCCGATTTTCGTCTCCATCAAATAAGAATTAAATTGGAAGAAGTATGCAATGTGATATGTCATGTGAAAAAGGATTAAAGAAAAAGTTAGCTCGTATTTTCGTAAGTTAAGTCTTCCGCTATTTCTGTTTGTATCATATGTATGTTAATTGAACCGGCTCGAGACGGGGATGTTACAAGATGGACCGAAAATAAGTGTATTTTTATCTTCAAATTCCCAAATATATTTCATCATTGTAATGTTATAATGTAAGGAGTTAATTGTTTGAATATTTTGGTTAATTTAATATTATGAATGAAGAAAACATCCAAAGAGCACAATTCCAATAGAAAATACAGCAATATAAAAACACAAGGAAAACTAGTCTAATAGCCAAGTGGGCTGCTCAAAGCAGTCGTGGCTTCTAAAACTTGTGCCTCCTGTTGAACGATACTCTCCACTAGTTGATGTTTGAGATCTTCTACATGTTGAGTCAAAATACGCTTTGATTCCAATAATTCTTTCAGTGCATCTTGAGAGACTTGTAAACCAGGAAACAATGCACGTCTCTCAAGATCATCCAACCAGTCCTTATCAAAAGCAAATCTGCGCACATCTTGTAATAGTTCCACAAAATCAGAGTGGCTTGATCCCAAAACATCCAACACACTATGGGTTTGAAGGAATTTCAATAGCTCAGCCAGGCAGTCATATGCATAACCCTTGTATCTATCACTAAGTGCATTGTTTAAGAAAACAGAAGGATGCTTCACTAGAAAATCAGCCAACAATGACAGGTTGTCTGAAGCCAAACGCTTCTTGGAGACCAATTGCTCAAGCTCCCATGTGACAAGAGAAGCAAAGTTCAATTCTTTCATGTTTTGCCAAGGGTTCCCTGGAATTGAAGTAAAGAATAACTAAGCATCCTAAGCAAATAATTTAATAAATACATAAATAAAAAGTAAAAAGAAAGGGAGAAAATACCTTCAAATGGAACTGAAGGAGATTTGGATGCAATACGAGAAGGCTTAGATTCTGAACCTCCTAATTCTTTATAGTTAGAAATATGTTCCTCAATGTTTGAGCTCACTTTCATGGAAGCATTATCATGTAATGAAACTAAACAAAAGATGGGATAGGAAAGAGTTCAAAATAAAAATTTGACGAGGTAACAAAAGGAAATAAAGTAGATGCAAGAGTCTTCACCTGGATCATGAGTCTTAGTAAGGGCAACCACCAACTCAGAAGTTTCCGGAGAGTCTCTGATATCAACATCTTTTGTGGTAGGAGGCTCGGTAGTGACACCTGAAAAAGAAGGTGTGGCTATTTGGCCATCACCATCTTCCTACACATTCAAATATACAAACTATATTATCATCCCCTAAGACTTTATAGAGTCAGCCTCACTGTATTCAACAATTCATGTTTCAGTTTGGACGAGCCTGATTTCACTATGGGAAGAATAAGAAGATAAGAATAAGAAAACAAAAAGAATTAGTGTTAAGACTCAACATTTACTAAGCAACAATCTTATCCCCCTCTATCCAACTTTGGATATAGGTGTTAGCAGTAGTAGTAAATTATAGGTGTTAGCAGTAGCAGTAAATTATGGGTGTGATAATGGCATATTCAAAAAGATTTATCTCTCTAGCTCAAGCTAGTGTTCAACACCTCAATTCTTCTTCTTCCATCAAAGTTGTTTCAAACATGGATTCTTTTAAATCCAATCCCTTGGTGCAATTAATGATTTGGAAACATGGCAGCATTAGGTTTAAGCAGAGGAACATATTTGAATGCTCATTTGCATACAATAAGCTTACCGGCGAATGTGTTTTATGCTCAGAAGTAACTAATGTTCCTGGTAATGAACTAACTGATTCTGAATGAGTTGAAGATGTTGGTGTCATAGAATTCGCTGATGTAGCTCCTTCAACACTTCTCTTAATACTCTGCACAAAATCAAAAACAATAATTGAAGTATGGAGTAAACATCCATTGAAAAATAATAATAAGCATAACAAGGGAATGCCTTCTCTTGAGGAGGAAGTAATGGTCCTAGTGATGTGCTTCTTGTTTCTGAATCAGTGGACAGAGTTTCTTTTACAGTTTTCTCTGATGTAGAATCCTTTTGAATGGCTTGATCCTCCGTTTCTTTGAGAAACTGTAGAACATAGAAATGAAAATAAGTTGCAATATATTTATAAGAAGTATACGGAAGTACTATTCATATTGATTTCCTGTTAAGTTTTTTTGCATGATGAACATGGTGAGGTGGTATTACATTATTTCCCTGAAGAGATTTAAAGGTAATGTCAGTTTCTCCAAGTAGGTGTTGTTGGTTCATCAAACATGGTTCTACCATGTTTTGTTCATCCACCAACTCCTGTAAAGAGCGCATAAGTAATAGTCATGAACAATCAATAGTTTCCTCCAATACTAATAAGAAGACCTTGAAGTGGGCTCACATGTGAATGTGATTCATGTAGAGGGATATCCAATGGACTTGGACATGGCCTTCTAATTACTTCTGAATCCGTTGGTGATATTGTTATTGTTGGAATCTCTAAACCAGGAACTTTCTCAACAAATTCTTGTTCTTCCTCAAGTGATTGTTTGCTTTTTGTCTCCACAAAAAGGAACTCATTCGATTCAATGTCATCTTCTTGTTGATCAGTATCGACATGTGAACAAATCAACTCACACCCGGATGCTGCTTGAACATCAGGCCCAACTGAAACTTCTTCAGTGATTTCTGCAATTGGATTTTGATTGATGGTATCTTTATTATTAGAATCTTCTTCATCAAGTTCATCAACCATGTCTTCTGCCACGCGCTTGAGAAACCAATCGCCAAATTCTATAATAAAGTGTTATAGATCAACAACTCCTTCATCCAGTAACTCATAAGATTTTTTATATTTGTTTTACAAGCAGTGAAGGTATAAAATTATTTGTCTATCTTTACCGAATAATTAAAATTTTTGCATAATTTTATCTTTCATATAATAATAGAGCTTCTATTAGTTAATGTCTAAACTTCTATTTAAGAGCTTGAATTGTTTATATACTTCAATCCAACAGTTTAAAATTATAAAAATGTTCAAGACACATACATGAAGGTGAAGATATATGAATAACTTTAATATATCTCGAATAGTAAACAACTTCTTTGTTTTTAATTCTTAAAGAATAACTCTAGAGATATTTATCTGTAAGTCCTTTGTGAGTAAAGTTAATAACTTTTATGAACAGTTTATTAAATCCTTAAACATAGAGGCCAGAGCGAAATTTTTTTTGATACATTTTATAAGAATGGTTTGACAAAAATTGTAGAGAAAAATTTACTATAAAATATTAAAACAAGTAAGATCACCTTTTTAAGAATTCCATTCCACTTACTAGATTATTAATGGTTTAAAACTTCTATTTTCCAAGTAAAAAAAGAAAAAAATTGTAGCTCATTGTAATCAATTAAAAGGGTAGGTATCAACTTAATCTTAATTATATTTGTATCTAATTGCCGGTTTATTTGAACTTTTATCTCCAATCAATTAATAGGCATAAAAGTTCTTAGTTTTATATGAGGAAGGTTATACTTACAACCTTTTTTTTTTTACAACCTCTTACAACCATATCTTATCACTGTTGATTTTCGTCAATCAACGGTTATCATTTATTGTGAATTAATAATTAATTAATGAGTTTAATTTGCTAAAATGATAACCGTTGATTGACGAAAATCAACGGTGATAAGATATGGTTGTAAGAGGTTATAAGAAAAAAAGATTGTAACTATAACCTTGCAATTTTTATACTGATATAAGATGATCCTTCTAATTGCCGGTTTAAAACTGACTTTTTAAAACTTGAGACAGTAGCCCCATAAAAAGTAATGCACATGTATATACTTTATTAACATATTAGTGGTGAAGCACTTGTATTAATAAGTAGTTATTTTTATAAATGTTAAATTCCATTAAACTAATTGATAAATTGAAAGTTTAATTTGTTGATACTTCATTGCATTACATGTATTTTTTAGATGCATTTTATGTAATTATGTATAAGGAGAGAAGTTATAAATTTAATTAATATTCTATGTAAATTCTGATAAAAATAACAAAAATAGAAGCATATATTGTCCAAAATTTTGTAAGTACTCCATGATAGGGGTTCACATTTGGAAGAATTTGCCATGACAGAGATATCAAATTTTGCATTATATTTTATGATTCCAAGCAATGTAATTATGTAGAACGAGCATGTCAAGCTTTTTTTTTTATTATTAAAAAAAAGTGTATAAAGTGTACCTTTGATAACATATCTAGTAAGCCTTTGAACCTTGTCGATAGTTGTTGTTGAAGTCAAAGAGAGTTTTGGACAACTCTGTATGAAAAGACTTATTGCAGTCTCGAATTCAATCCTCTGGTAGAGGCTTGGAAGTTTGACAAATACTGCAAATTTCAGATTTGGAAGCTCAACTTTCTGATCACTTTGTTCGTATTCGAATACTTGCTCTAGCTCATATGCTTCTTTTATTATCACATTCTCTAGCTTGGGAAACTCTTTAGATGTGGAGACAGGGAAGATGCATTTCAGTTTGTCGCATTTATTTACCACAAGTATTGTTAGCTTTGGGAAGCCTATCTTTGAAGAGAGAAAATTGGACATTTTGTGATATTCCACATCCTTTTCAATGATTTGCTTTAATTCTTTGCATTCTGTTATGATTAGTTTATGCAATTGTGGTAGGTATCTTAAAATAGCAGCAGAAAAGATTACTTCCAATTTTTCACATCGCGCAATTGTTAACTCTTCAAGGTTTTGGAGGGTACAAGAATTTTTGGGACCCACAAAAATATAGGTCATCTGAGGCTGATCACCCAACTGAAATTTTTGTAATCGTAACTGCATTTGTTGTTCATTTATTTCTTTGGAGTTGTATATCTTGGGTTTTTCCAAAGTGAGAAAAGATCGCACGTTTCCACTCAAATCCTACAATAAATAAATACAATATAATCACATAAATAAAATTAGCATTCTACTACTGATAATTTCAAAATCATATTAGAAATAAAATAAGTTAGTAATAAATGTGATAACAACATTTTTATATTTTAACTTGAAACACTTTTTTTTAATCTATATTTTTTATATTTACCTGAACTAATTATGCATACACCTTTTTCCTATCTTTAAAATAATTTTTAGATATTTTTCTCTTAATTTCTATTTTAAAATTTTATCCAAATTTAAAATTATTTATACAATACATGAGATACTAGCTAATTGTTAGAATGATAATTCCAAAAATTATCTGATCAATACACGAAGTTAAATAAGGCTCTATGCATTCTTTTCTCATGAAAAAACTATAGAAAAGAACTACAAATCATGGCTTTAAGAACCAATATATGGAGTTTCATTTTTCGTTGGTTTTAAGAATCACAGTTTAATTACTAAGAGACTTACAACTTTCACGTGAAAAGAAAATACATTATCATTAAGAAAATAACTTTAAAATGAACCAACTTTAACCTATAACGAAATTGTAAGGATTCTTCAATATCTTGAAATCCTTTATGTTACATGCAACGTGTTGACTCTTACATAAATAATGGCACAAATCATTTATATAATTTCACCCATAGCCTAAAATTTTGAATATAATTAATATTTAATTAGCAATAAAAAATTTCGATAATTTTGACTCGAAAAATATTCATGTTTTAAAATGGGTTAAGTGAATCTCTATTAGTATGGATTAAACTTTAAGACTACTATAATGATATAACAATTTAAAAATCAGTTTAACCGACCAAAATACCAGAACCCTAAACATAAAAATCTGTTTAACTGGTTGAGATTAGCTTCACTTGGATCCCATATTAGCCTAGCACATTCAGAAAAATCAATTCTCTTTTGTATTATCTAAGATTCGATTTTAAGTAGTCATGGTAAGAAACACACTGAATTGCTAGATAATCGTTTGAGTTTTTCCATTCCAATTACTTTTACTAGAATGAGCACACAAACATTTGCCAGACATAGACTTACTTTAAATATGATTACATGAAATATTGACAAAAAGGAAATCCTAATGCATACAACAATACATTAATGGCAAATTAGAACATTATGGGCCTGTTTGATGGTTAGGATAAAGCGTACAAGATATATTTGATGGATTATCATATCATATTCTTCTTCGTTATTTGATGAACCAATAGAATATGATAACTTTATGTTCTCTAAATTTTTTGTTAAAACCATCATGCCTTACTTATGCCTATCTAGGGCTGGCAATATGGGCCAGCCCGTCCCGGCCCGCCCCGGCCCGCCGCTAGCCCGTCCAAAATGGGCTGGCCCGCCCCGGCCCGTTTTGACAAAATGGGTTGAATTGAGTAACCCGGCCCGTTTTATGAGTGGGCTGGCGGGCTACGGGCCAGCCCGCCTAAAATAAAAAAAATAAAAAAATAAAATACAAAAAATTAAATTCTGCATAAAATCACATAAAAAAATCTGCATAAAAGCATACAAAAATCTGTATAAAATCCTAATATGCTTATGAAACCAAGAAGATCAGTGTTTAATAATCTGCATATAAATATGCATCTTTCAATCCAAAAATAATAATAAAAAAATAAAATCATATCAGGATAAAATAGAATAACAAAACAAGTAACAAAGTGTTGTATGAGCAGTCCACAACAATTCAAAAAAGCCACTTGCAAGCAGAGAAATCTAAGATACGGAGCTACATAACAATTGGGTAACCTAAAAAAAAAAAAAAAAAATGACTTGGCGGGCTGACCCATATGGGCTGGCGGGTTTGGCGGGGCGGGTTTGGCGGGCTGGTGGGTTAAAAGACTCAACCCAGCCCGCCCCATTTGGCAGGCGGGGCGGGCCAGCCCGGCGGGCTCAGCCCATTTTGCCGGCCCTATGCCTATCTCAATTTGTGCATGTTCTTTTTTTTTTTTTTTTTTGGTATGGTGTGCATGTTCTTTTTTTTTTTTTTTTTTGATAACATGTGTGCATGTTCTTTAAATTCTATGGAAGTTAGGAATTTCTCCTTACTATCGCATTAATATGATTTTCATATTCTTAATTAATCCTAATTACTTGTCTTTTTTAAATGATTTTTAAAATTCTTACACAAACATAAGGATACAATTATATGGTGGGTTCGATCCCACATTCATGTTCCCATTTTCCCTGATATTTAATACGGTCTTTCTAGATTTTTATTTTTGAAATCGATCTTTAACAAATTAACATTTGCGATCCGATGACATTCTTTGAGTAAGATCGAAATCCTTGATGAATTTCACAAACAGCAAAGATTTATGGAAAGAGGGGTACCTTGATGGTTGTGCTACCCAATTCTCTTGAATCATGAACGGACAAATCACCAAATGATTTAATGCTAAACTGGGAGCATTCGCCGAGTGTAAACTCAGTCAGAAGTGGCAACGATGTGGAGTAGTTTTTAGAACAAATGCCGATTAAATTTGGCAGCTTGAAAAAGTTGAGAAATTTCAAAGCTGGAAGCTGAAGGTGAATCTCACTTTGGTTTTGATGATCATGAGGATAGTGTCCAAATACAGATTCCAATAGCTCACAACGTTTCACCAAGATTTTTTCCAATTTCGGAAACACATCGCCCCAATTATTGCCACCACGGTCATCTCCGGTGTCTATTATTATGTGCTTCAAATTATCACAATACTCAATTGTCAAAGTTTCCAACATCATTGTTGGGGCATTAGACATGATAAACACAGATTCTATCTTTGAAAGATCCCAGAGATCAATCTCTTTAATATTGCGCAACATCTGTGGTTGTTTTGAAAGACATTCAGCACGTTCCCAAAGGTGATTTGATGCCTGTAATATAATCCCAACAAAAAAAGGTTCTAAATAAAACTAATAGAACTGATACAAATCCTAAAAACAGGCTTACATTAAATCCATAATATAATGCTAACAGTAATCTTCAAGATTAGGATGTTTAATATGAAAAGGACCTATAAATATAAGATATGTACTATCTATTAAAAAGAGAAAGTACCAAAAGATAACACAAGAAGGTGAGAGGGTTACCGATGAGATTGAGCTGTGTTGCAGTTGATCCTTGGAAACCAATGGAATTTGAGCACTTGTGGTACTCCTCAGTTTGTGTCTATATTTATGAGTCCAAGGGAAGATATTGCATTTCATGGGGTCTGATTGCATTTGTGACTTGGAAGATGACCTCTTCGGGGATGAACGCTTGGGATGATAACATTCTGGAAAAATGTCAATGAAATTTGGCAAGCCAGTGAGCTCCATTTTGTCCAGTGAAGTAAGTACGACATCCTTTACCTCTTGATGCAAATCCAGCTCTTCATTTTCATGTTGGTATTTGCCAAATATGTATTTCAGCTCATCACAATATTCTATAGTGATAGATTCCAGTGCAGGAATGTCTCGAGCAGAAAGGACCGGAATTATAAATTCCAAGAGGGGACAGTATGAGATATAAAGAGTTTTCAAATTTGAAAACATTGGGGCGTGACTGTTTCTTCTTTTATTACCATTATCAACACCAACTATTTCATCTCCCAAGTTCTCCCCTGTTCTTTCATCTGCTATTATGTTTACCAGTTGCTCACAGCCCATTATTTCTAATTCCTCCAATCGCAGTAGACTTTGTGAAGTCAGCAGTTGAAATAGGGTTACCAATTTCGGGCAATGCCACAATTTGATGGTCTTAAGATTGTAGAGGTTTAGCTTGCTCTTTAACAATATGCTTCCCAAACCATTACAGTCATTGATGAGTAGCGTCTCTAAACTCTTCAGAAAGTCAAAGGGAAGAGGACCATTGCTTAGTTCTTCCAAATTTTCCATTTCATCAAGTTCTAGTACAGCCAACTTGGAGAAGAAGTTTTGTTCCGAAAAATTAATATGACTAGTGTCAATTAGACACTGTAATTTTGACCAGGATTCCAAACGAAGTTTCACAAGATAATTCATACCGTCATCTATCGGAACAATCTCAGGTATGAGATTTCTCCACTCCCCCTCAATTCCTGTTAGCTTAAGAATCTCTGTTGTTTGTACCAGATACTTGAATGTTGCTTCAGAGAAATAAGTATCAATATATGAAGCACACACATATTTTGACACTGAATCGTATGTTTCATCATCATACCCATCTCTTATATGATACCTTTGCAATGCAGGCAAGGTTATTTTCTTATGAATTGATGAGCTGTCAACCTTGAATTTAGTGAAATACAATTCTTCTAGTGATGAGCATCTTTCAATCACATCAAATGTAGTATCCATTTCAATTTCACAGCCATCCAAGTTCAGCAATCTAAGTCTCTCTAGCTCTGCAATTTCACGTGGCAATTCGACCACTTCACAATAAACCAAATCAAGAGCCTCAAGGCTTCGTAGTTTTCCCAAAATAGAGATGTCACCTAATCTCAATCTTTCAAGGAATAGAGATCGAATATTCGTCAATGACTCGATTGACTGTAGCAATGATAGAGGCCTTCCCCAATGTTGACATGATAAATACAAAACTCGAAGCTTTGCCATATTTTCGAAGAATGAATTTGGCATTTCCATCGAGTCTTCTTCAACCATACAGTTGATTTTAAGAATCTCAAGTTCAGAACCATCAAACCTATAGGAAAACACATCATGTTCGTTTCCTTCCAATAACAAATATTTCATACCCTTCTCACTTTCAACCAATGATTTTTTATGTTTGCCAGACAGATTCACTGCTCGTATCTCTTTGTTAACCTTTAATAAAGCCACTTCACGAACCAAGTCATGCATTTTCACACGTCCTCCCTCAGCCTTCAACAATAAACAAGAATCTATGAGTTCATTTTTGGCAACGGCTACTTGGATTCGAACATCATCATATTTGTCATAAACTTCCCCAAAAAGACCCGCTCCTATGCCAAATCTAGTTAAAACTTCAGTGGGAAGTTCTTCATCTTCTGGAAAAACAGAACATAAGAGGAACAATCTCTTGGCTTCTTCATTATTCATATTATCATAGCTATACCACAAACATTTATAAATTTCATTCAAATCTTTATTAACACCATGCATGGGCTTTTGCAAGGATATTAAGGCTGCATTCCACTGTACCTGACGTTGTTCGCCCTTTAAACGACTGGCAATAATAGCAATTGCAACTGGTAACCCTTTGCATTCTTTGACAATTTCATGTCCCTTATCCATCAAACTTTTAGGTGTACTACTGCTTATATGAGCATGCTTTTCGAACAGGGTCCATGCCTCATCCTCTGGTAAGAGCTGCAGTTCAATTATCTTCTCACATCCCAATGAGCGACATGCGTTTAGATCGCGTGTGGTTAGAAGAACTCTGCAACCTTTGTGATCATCGCTTTTTGGAATCCCTATTTTTTCAAATTTGATATGCTCCACAGTATTTTCCCATACGTCATCCAATATTAGAAGAATTTTCTCACCATTGGTTAATCTGCTTCGCAGTAATTTGCATCGCTCTGATTCGCTCTTATCCTTCAATTCTGATGCTAATCCCAAGGGTACAGCAATATCATCTTGAATCTTTCTTATGTCAGGAGTATATGACACTGTAGTATCAATGACATGATCAAATTGTTTCGATTGCTCGAGTTCCTGACCTACTTTTCTTGCCAATGTTGTTTTGCCAGTGCCGCCCATCCCTTGCAATCCAGTTATATAGTTGTCATCTGTCAGTGCATCCAAAAGTTCATTGTATATCAACTCTCTACTTTTAAAAGAAATGTAATCTTGGGAAGAATGGTATTCAACGCCCAGGAGATGAGGAGTGAGTCCTGTAATATTCAAGTTTTCAAGTTCTTGATTGATTCTTCTAGCATCCTCTGTTTTATTGGCCAGTTCTTTTCCCCTATTATATCGCCATATGCAATTAGGACACCATCCAAAAAAACATGTCTTTTTTGTTTTTGTGTCCTCTTGAATGAGCTTATCAGCTCGCTTGTCCCAAGAAGTGACATCAGCTGGAGTATCTTGTGAGCTTCTTTTGAGTTGATCAACACGTTGCCCCACAGCCTTAACTTTTGCTTCCAATATTTCTTTTTCCTTTTCACAGTCCGCAACAATGGATGTGAAGCAGCATATATATCGTGCTTCTCCAATTGCCCAGTCCATCAATTTCTCCAAACCCTTCTTTGCTAATTCATTCGGGATATCGGCCATCTAGATCAAATTCAATACATCAAAGTTAGTCATAAATATTTACCACAACTTCCTATAGAAATTATCCAATTGCATGTATAAAATTATGGGTTTAACCGTTAAATTAAATTTGTATAAATACGAGGACAAGTTATATTTATAAACTTTTTATTTATAAACTTGCCTAGGTACTTCCGAAAATGCATTCCTCTATTTTTGTACTCCTCCTAATACACTCAAGTTTGTAAACAAAAATTTGTAAATATAGCATTTCTCATAAAAATATATACTAAATATAATAATATAAGCAATACAACTAATACCACAAAATTCTGGACTCATGCATTTCAAATTGTAGTCTAACTAAACAATTATCTTCCCACAGGACTCCAAGTCAGCACATTTCATTCATTCATTTGTTTGATCTGATCCTAAATTATAATTTTTTTAAAGATTTTGCTTGTTTATGTTGTCCAGTACTTCTTCATCCTTAAAATAAACACAAGCTTGAACACTTTCCACTTAGTGAACAATTCTTGTTTATTATTCAATTCACAAAAGTTATAAGTGCTTGTCCTCCCCTGGTCATTCGTGTATCTCACAGGATGTCCTGTTTGATGAATTAAGTTTTAATTTCTCTCATGTTCTGAGGCCACTCAACCTTTCTCTCTCTCCCGAGTCTGCTCCACCTTAGCCTCTATTCATTTTGCCACTGGCTCCTCCTCCTCCTCTTCTTCTTCTATGCCTTGTTTCTTTTAAAATTTTATTCAATTAAAATATCGACAATTGATATTATTCATGAGTGAGGAAATATCAGACATTGTAAACCGACTCCCTAGTATATATCACTAGTCCATAAGTTATTCATAGTATTATTTTTCCTAAAAGTGGTAATTGTTATAATAAATATTCTTGTGGAACATACATATTCTAGTTATAACATACTAATTGTATTAACACAATGAAATGCTGTTAAATAGAATTGGAAAGGAAGTTAAACACATATATTTACCTCAATCTTTTCTAAATTTTCTACTCTTTTCCAGAATGCCTCGACTTTGATCCCAATCCTGATCCACTTGAGCTTTGAGCAATCATAAAAAGTTTTATTATTATTATTATTATTATCCTGAAAATAATCAAACAAGCTACATCCAAATGACATTTATACTTAAAAGTACTTCTCAAATATTACATCCAAACGTAAAATACTATTGGCTTTTGTTGAGATATATAGTCCCACATTTGTTGTATGTGCAACTAATGTGGAGTTTATAAGGCCTTGGGCACTCCCACCCTTTGAGCTAGCTTTTGGGGTGGTGTATCCCAAGGTTCTTCACATGGTATCAGAGCCTCGCCGCCCCCCACTTTCTCTTGTAGCGTTTCTTAGCACAGGTAGGCTGGGCCTGTTGCATTGTCCACTCTTCAAACTCATGGGCTCTTGTGTGAGGGAGCGTGTTGAGATATATAGTCCCACATTGGTTGTATGTGCAACTAATGTGGAGTTTATAAGGCCTTTGTAACACCCCGTTCTAGAACCGGTTTGTTAACATCGCATTATGATATTAAGCGCAGTTACAATCACATCTCATAAACCATTTCTCCTCAACGGAGTATGGTGGAACACTCAATGGGATCAACCACAAGGTCCAAAGGTTTACCTTGCTCTTTGAGCTTTCCTCAATTGCACACAACCCCAAGGGTTGGTCACTCCACTTGGTCCTCTTGCCTCAATCCTATCAACACAAGGAATACAATCAAACAATGCTAACAATGCAAGGAAATCCATAGTTCCAAGCCTAGATTTCTCCAAACATCAAAGCATACTAAAATAACACTATAAACTCATTTCTACCGATTAAATGTCATTCCTAGCATTTTTCACAACATACTCTAAGCCTCATTCTTCCTTGAACATAGCCAATCTACTCAACATTTCATAAAAACCCTAAAACACTATTCATTAACCCTAAACTCATGCAAATCTCCAAGAATCATGTGAAAGAGAGTGGAAACTTACCACCAATGATCACACAATAGAGGAATGAGTGTTCCTCAAGCTTCCATGGAGGTAGAAACTCTCAAACACCTCAATTTCTCCAATGGCCGAATTTTTGGAGGAGGATATCTCACAACACAATGCTCCCCACTCCAAACTAAGCTTAGATTACGAAAGAGGGGAAGATTTAGAGTGGTTTAGGCTTTTGAATCACTCCAATCGGTTAAGATTTGCTCTCACTCTCTCTTCCTCCCTCATTTCCCTTCTTCTTCTTTTCTCCTTCTTCCTTTCCTCTTCTCTGATGCTCGACGGGTTGCTTGGGGGGGTTTGGGTTCTTTTGTGTTCTTTATCACTTAACATTGGTTAAGTGAAATAATGCGGGTATTAGTTCGTCTATCTATTCAACTCCATTAATGACCAAACTTTACCCAAAAGTCTAGAATATTATTCTAGGAATATTTATAATTTTATTTTTATATTTTGGGCACTTTCGCCAGTACCCATTTATACCCCTTAATTTTCACTGAGTATACTTTTTAACTCCAAAGTGACTCAGATTCATTTAATTAAGCCTTATACTTAATTTTACTCACTAAAACATGCTTAATTATTTAATTAAAATTAATCAATGAAATCCTTAAGTTTGGGGTATTATATTCACCCCACCTTTTTAACGATTTTGTCCTCAAAATCGATAAAACCACTCATTCAATCATCTATGGATTTATCCGAGAACTCTTCTTGTGTTCCCGAAGTTACCCTATTATTCAGTTCCTCTTTTCCTCATCATCTTATCATAAGATGAAATGTTTCATTCATGATTCAATCTATGTTTTATAATTAGGTGATACTAATATGTTCCAGCACTTTTATCTTTCATTTTCCTCAAGGGTCATACCTATTCACTTGATATTTAACCCTGACCTTCTGCGGTCCTACTAATAACCTCATACATAAAATCTCATCTGATGGAACTTCCAAGAGAGATCCGCTATGGGCTGTTTCTCTTAGGTATCTGACCACAAGGAGGTCCCGAAGGCTAACTCCAAGGGAAGTTCCCCTCAATCTGGGCCTTTCATGAGAATTCTCTATCTCATAGGATACTATCCTCATGGAGGTAATACCACTACATCCATGGAAAGGTCATTGCATACAATTTACCATCTTTTAGCAATCAATACATAGTCTAGTCTTTAATTACTAGACATAACGAGTCACACAATCATAATTGAGTCCACAGTCTAAGCATGTGTGGCTCCAACCTCAATAAACTATGCATGTCATATTAATCTACATGCGTCATACCTCCCGTCAAGTATGGGAACCTCTCTAGCTGGGGTTGGGTCGAAGTGCTAACATGTGCCGCTGCTGGAAGACCAGAGACCACTTGCACATGAGCAACTCGTCCCACGATTTGGGGACAATCCCTCGCATAGTGACCAGGTCTAGCACACTTGAAACATACGTTTTGACCCATCAAACAAACGCCCTTGTGATGCCTCCCACAGTTGTCACACTGGGGCACAAGAGGTCTTTCATTGTCCCAACTCTGTTGACTCCCGCTTCTCTTAAACTTTTCCTCAGATTGTTTAGCTTGTAATCTTTCTTTAATATTCCTGTCATCCATCTTCTTACCCTTTTCTGAAGTAGAGCCAGTTGCTCCACTAGCACAGATGCTTGTGCCTCGGAAGACTTCTTACTTTTCGGCACACCATAAACTTCTTCCACCTTCCGGCATTGGTTCACGAATCTACTAAACTCTCGGATGTCACAATTTGACATCTTTCGAGACATCTTCTCATTTAGACCCCATTGAAATTTAGAGGTCATCTCGGCCGGAATGGGTAAGGCTCTCCCATAGTTAGCATATTTCACCAATTCATTGAACTTGGCGAAATATAGGTCAATTGTCATCGACCCTTGCTTGAGATCGTTATACTCATTCTGTTTCTGTTCCCTAGCCTCCCTAGGAAAATAGTTATCCAAGAACAATGTCTCGAACAACCGCCAGGTGATTTCCCGGCCTTCAGCTTCTAATGGCTGCACGGTATTGGTCCACCAATCTTCCGCTTCCTCTTCCAGCATATAAACAGAGTAGATTAACTTCATTGCGTCAGGGCATCTCATCACCCTGAATATCTTCTCCATAGCTTGGAGCCATTTCGCAGCCGCCATTGGCTCATAACCTCCCTTAAAAGAAGGAGGTTTGTGTTTTCGGAAAGCCATCAATCTTCTTTCTTCAGCTTCATGCTCGTCAACACGCTCAACACGTGGTTGACGGACCTCAGTGTGATGGCTATGACTATCAGAATGGTGGCTAGCCTCACCTTCATTGTTACCTGCTACACCCTCAACGTCCTCAACTCGGTCATCATCGCGGCCATAGCAGTCCGCGAGTCTTCATTTGTTTTTAACAAATTTTCATTGGCTTGCCTGCTAGCAGCCAACTCTCTCTGAACGGCTGCAAGAGCTTCAGCCACGGGATCAGGCGGTACGCCCGTTGCCCCACGGCCACTTCTGGGCCTCACAAGAGCAGCCAAAACAGGTTCTGGCTGAGCATTGGTGTTTGATGGTCCGGGGTTGTTTCGGTGCCTCGTCATGTCACTACACATGTTACACAAAGAAGTGAGTTGATCAGGCCCACACTTAGTGATCACAAATGCAATAATCATCAAGAGTACTAAAACAACTATAAAGCATCAAACACTAAGCATACTCAACAATAGCTAACAGTTATTCCCGACGAAACTGCTCTGATACCATAAAATGTAACACCCCGTTCTAGAACCGGTTTGTTAACATCGCATTATGATATTAAGCGCAGTTACAATCACATCTCATAAACCATTTCTCCTCAACGGAGTATGGTGGAACACTCAATGGGATCAACCACAAGGTCCAAAGGTTTACCTTGCTCTTTGAGCTTTCCTCAATTGCACACAACCCCAAGGGTTGGTCACTCCACTTGGTCCTCTTGCCTCAATCCTATCAACACAAGGAATACAATCAAACAATGCTAACAATGCAAGGAAATCCATAGTTCCAAGCCTAGATTTCTCCAAACATCAAAGCATACTAAAATAACACTATAAACTCATTTCTACCGATTAAATGTCATTCCTAGCATTTTTCACAACATACTCTAAGCCTCATTCTTCCTTGAACATAGCCAATCTACTCAACATTTCATAAAAACCCTAAAACACTATTCATTAACCCTAAACTCATGCAAATCTCCAAGAATCATGTGAAAGAGAGTGGAAACTTACCACCAATGATCACACAATAGAGGAATGAGTGTTCCTCAAGCTTCCATGGAGGTAGAAACTCTCAAACACCTCAATTTCTCCAATGGCCGAATTTTTGGAGGAGGATATCTCACAACACAATGCTCCCCACTCCAAACTAAGCTTAGATTACGAAAGAGGGGAAGATTTAGAGTGGTTTAGGCTTTTGAATCACTCCAATCGGTTAAGATTTGCTCTCACTCTCTCTTCCTCCCTCATTTCCCTTCTTCTTCTTTTCTCCTTCTTCCTTTCCTCTTCTCTGATGCTCGACGGGTTGCTTGGGGGGTTTGGGTTCTTTTGTGTTCTTTATCACTTAACATTGGTTAAGTGAAATAATGCGGGTATTAGTTCGTCTATCTATTCAACTCCATTAATGACCAAACTTTACCCAAAAGTCTAGAATATTATTCTAGGAATATTTATAATTTTATTTTTATATTTTGGGCACTTTCGCCAGTACCCATTTATACCCCTTAATTTTCACTGAGTATACTTTTTAACTCCAAAGTGACTCAGATTCATTTAATTAAGCCTTATACTTAATTTTACTCACTAAAACATGCTTAATTATTTAATTAAAATTAATCAATTAAATCCTTAAGTTTGGGGTATTATAGCCTTGAGCACTCCCACCTTTGAGGTAGCTTTTGGGGTGATGTATCCCAAAGTTCTTCACAGCTTTTAAAAAAAGTAAATCATAGAAAGTCCTTATTTTCAAAAGCTCATCCAAACGGGACCTAAATTTACATACCAACAATATGAAAGAATGTGCTTTCATGGATAGGTACGAAAGGGAAAAATCTACTATGCAACACCATGTAAGTCATTTTCTATTAGAAAGAGTTTTTATTTTTTTTATTTTTTCAAGTACTGTCTATTCATAGATTAACCCCAAAAATTTTTGCTTTTTCTTTACAATTACTTAAACACATTTTAATTTTCTTAGTTCAACTATTTAATTTTAAAATTTTACATTTACTTGTTCAACAAGTTAATTACAGGTAATTACTTAGAATCGTTGATGTGTTTAACAGAAATATCAACACTTTAAACACAAGTTACTTAATTTTGGAGTGGTGTATCCCAAGGTTCTTCACAGCTTTTAAAAAAAGTAAATCATAAAAAGTCCTTATTTTCAAAAGCTCATCCAAACGGGACCTAAATTTACATACCAACAATATGAAAGAATGTGTTTTCATGGATAGGTACGAAAGGGAAAAATCTACCATGCAACACCATGTAAGTCATTTTCTATTAGAAAGAGTTTTTATTTTTATTATTTTTTCAAGTACTGTCTATTCATAGATTAACCCCAAAATTTTTTGCTTTTTCTTTACAATTACTTAAACACATTTTAATTTTCTTAGTTCAACTATTTAATTTTAAAATTTTACATTTACTTGTTCAACAAGTTAATTACAGGTAATTACTTAGAATCGTTGATGTGTTTAACAGAAATATCAACACTTTAAACACAAAGCATATTAATGTTCCCTAATATGTATTTTGCAATACCAAAAATGACATAAATAACTATTCCTATCAATACAATCGACGGAACACAATTTGTTCAATATGATGTTGACACAACAGAACATGGACAACCTTAGATTTAAAATTGAAAAAAGCTTTCACGTTTTTTTCCTTTTACTTTTAGGATGAAAGTCAATTGAATAACTCCAAGTAAATAAATAAAAATAGGATTAAATATAAAATTATTTAATTATTTAATTTAAATGGATCAATTACAAATTAACGAGTTCTTAAGACA